TTCTTTTTATAAGCTTTATGTAACTTGCTTGCTCTTGACAGAGACGCTTTCAATCGATATTTCGAATGCTTCCGAATGTCCTTCCAGTTATGCTAATATGTTGCAAGCATAACCCAATTTTGTTCATTTTCAAAATGGCGGCCGTGCAACAAGGAAATGTGAAATTGTCTATATATTCAAAATGACGGCCGATACTTAGGATAGCGCCGGATTATTGTTTCCTTATCGATCTCCGTACAGACGTGAAGTGCACCGGAAGACGTGAAGTGATGTTTTCGTTCTTTTTTTCTTAATAATTCCGTAGATTTGGGTGTTAATGAAGAGGGGACTTCGGGTGTATCGTGTCACAAGCAAGCTAAGTCCTTTAATATTCCATTATTTATATATGTGGTGGGCGCCTTAAGAGGACTTAGGGCATAGAATTCGACAAGCTGGGTGTGCATTAATTGGTTTTTAATAACCCCGTCGATATTGATGCCAAAACCTGTTAATTACAGAGTAGAACCCGAACTGAATAAGGCTAAAAATTATATAAAAAAAAAATTGTATAAAAATATTTGTAAGAATAAACTTTCATTTAAGAGAAGTCTAAACAATGGAAAATAAATTTTTCCCAGCCAATTTTATGTGATCATTTATAAATTAAAATCTTATACCACCAAGCTTTCATTTATATGGTCTTTTTTAGTTTTTTTTTTATTTGCATTTTCTTTATGATTGACTGTCTGGCGAACAGGGTAGCCCGAGGGGCCACGATAAGTCCTGAAATTTTCTGTGGCGTACCAAGAAGTCACATTATTAGTCTGGCGTCGCAATGAGCACACAATTAAGCGGATTGCCATTGGGAACACTGTGCATTTAAGAAGAAGCCATCTACGTCTAGGCTTCTCGGCACTCACGGTACCATTTGCAAAACATGGGTACATAGGTTCGATACCATTTCGGGCAGATTTTTGCCAAGGGACGAATGAAACGTTCCATCATGTTCTATGTGAATGTGAGGTCATCTGCAAAATCAGATACCATTTGTTTGGCAAGCATTGTACAAACCCGGGCACGGTATGTTGCTCGGATCTAAAGAAGGTGGCAGAATTCATAAAAATCTTAAAATTGGAGAGTTAGAGACGTGAGCATGTACAATAGATTTTTTCAGGTCGCAGTACGCATTGCCTACGTAATTAATAATAATAATAATGATTGAGTCGATGTGTACTTTGAGTCAGGCAGCTCCCATCATTTTTCTATGTAACATTAATATTTAGTTATGTGGTCTACAATTTTTTTGGCCTTGTAGAAATTTTACTTATGAAAGGACACAACACGAAGCAAGCTCTAATGCATAGAAATAAAAAACAGAGGACTTGTGTGTTGTTACATAATGATTGCAACTCTGTTATGAAATTTTTTTATTATTTTTGTCATATTTTTTTTTCTTTTCAGGTAAGTTTTTCTTTTTGTGTGCAACTTACTTCTATAAAGTCCTCTTATAGAACAGATTCTTAAGTGTCCCTTTCTTCTGCCAATGGACCGGCAAGCGGAAAAATACCTTTTGCTTTCGTTTTCTTCTCTCTTTTTAAAATAATCATTCCCCTAAGCAAGAGAGAAAGAGAGAGAGAGAGAGAGAGAGAGAGAGAGAGAGAGAGAAAAAAACAAGATATTTCATTAATTTTGTGATGGCATATTTTTAGGCTAACGAAAAATTGCTGATCATAATAAAGCATAACACACATGCAACGACTTAAGGGACCATCATTACTACTTCTCACCTTATCAAAATATTTCAGTTTGAATTAATCTTCCAAAAATAGGCAGACAAGCGATCGCGTGGGGTATTATTTATAAGATGCACATATACATGTGTTCATATAAAAGTTAATTTTTGCTCGCCTTTTTTATGCTATTGAAATTCTCAAGTCAATTGTAATACGAACGTGCGATGCGGTTGCGCCCCAATAATTTCCTTGTGTTTGCACGTTCATGTTAAGGAATATTGTTATTGCTTTGATAATCTTTAAAGTAAACTTTTTTCACAATATATATAATCCGTACGTAAGGTGGTATGACGGGTACGTCAGCTGTCATAAAATAAATATAATTTCGCTTTTATTCTGCTTCAAAGCCCTATACGTTAAATGCCCGTCAAATGTCAATACGAAGTATAAGTCCCTTTTTCAAAAATTTATCGTTCCGTGTTTTATCACAATTTTCAATAATAAGCTTAATAGGTTGTGGGACCAGAACGACTTGGAACGATCGGAAATGCAAAAGTTTGTATGTGTTGAGAAACGTTCGAAAAACAGATTGAAAAAGATATTATCTGGTTTTGAAATCTGCTTTTCGCACCCATTCCGAATGGCGGCAAAAATTGTTGTGTGTATAGTTTCCAACGAAATAGACACAAATATTAATCGATTCTCTATATATGTCCATCCATCATTTTCTATAGGTCCGTAAATTACTTGGAAAAGTAGGAAAATGCGTAGATACATCAAATAATAATAATAATAAAAATAATAATAATAATAAAAATAATAATAATAATAATGAAACAGTTTCAATATTTTCTTTCTCAGTCATTTTTTCAATTTCCTCGATCATATTCATATGTGCAGTACAAATCGGCATACTTCATCTGGCGATTCGGCTCATTTCATTCAACTTCAATATAATTGAGAATATATATTAGCCAAGTCTTGCATCGAATTATTATTATTATTATTACGTTACTCAGAAAAGTAAATTGAAAGACTAACGTCTTAAAGCTCAAGCATCAAACGATATCGGCTTTTTTAAATACTCTACCGCATTTGAGATTCGAACATATGATTATTGAGTTGCCAGTCGACGAGATTCGTTGTTTTTTTTTGGGCCACTCAGGCGGTTAGGATTTATTTAACATTTCCCTTTACGGCTTAATTGCGATTTTAGTTAAGGCATTCAATCGTTTCATGATGAATAACAAAAGGTATATGTTCTCGCTTAGTTGAAACATATTTTTGATGTTATAAAGAACATAATAAAAGCTAATGTTATATAATTCCACTTGATTTCTTAGATTATTCGATTCGAATACAAATTCCGAATTACATCATCTAAATAAAGAAAATATCGTTGTGAAATCTTTCTTTCTAGCAGATTTAACTTGACACTCATTCGGAACGTTCGGTTGTCCGTTGCAAAGTAGTCTGTGCAAACTCGAAAGAAACAGTTCGATGATTGATATGAAGAGCAAGGCATCCCTGTCATTATTACGATTTTCTAAATTAACACTGGAAGCAAACCATCTCGATATCATTCCATAAATCAAAGTTGAAAATTTTAATCATTTACGCGCTTCAAAACTCGCTTATGAAAAAAAAATATGATAAGATCATAAAAGCTGCTTGCCGCCGGCCGCGCAATGGTCATCATGACAACATATCATCTTTCTAATAAGATTATTTTCAAAATTAATTTACGAGCCAAAAGTAAGCTCGGCTCACAAAAATTGATGCGTAGGCAACTTACCAAAAATTCGTTTTTGAATCTCAGGGCTTGAATAACGCACTCACGTGCAGGAAGAGTTTTAAGTTCGTTATAACCAAAGATCAAAATATTGATAGCGAGCGAGAGAGTGAAAAAGCGAGAGCGCGAGAGACAAGAATTGTGCCTTGAGTAAAGTAGTAGAATAGATAAAGAAACTGAGAGAGAGAGAGAGAGAGCGAACCGGGGAAAGATATAGTTCGTTCTCTTCTTTTTCTGTTCATCATTTTGAGGAGTAGGCGCCTTGTAATTTTTATTCTGCTTTGTTGCTGCCTGCCGTTGCTTTGTGAACATAAGTCTTTTTTTTTTTTTTTTTTTTTTCTTCTATTTGCTATTAACCTATGCTTATGATCGTCTTTTTTGTGTTTTTTTTTTGTATTTTTTGTATTTTTTGTATTTTTAATTTTAAACGCCAACATATGCTGGTGGATGTATTTTTTTACCGCCTTGTGTACGAAAAATTTTTTACGTGCAAAGTATCGTAAGTAGGTTTGTGCACATTTCTGTTGATTCACATGTCCAGTATATGAGTAGCAGTTCATTGTGTGTTTAGTTTACTTTCGAACGTTCAACAAATCGCACGCAAAGTATTGTAAATTCTTTTTTTTTTTTTTTTTTTTTTTGAAATCGCTACGTTTTCCGATAACAGCAAAAGTCCAACAGACATAAAACCAAAATCTTATTACTCTCGTCTCAATGACGACGATTCCGATGAAATTTTGTGAAATTCTTTTTCAGTAAATGCGAATTTTCTATATACGGACATATATAATGCCTTCGAGTTTTTTGCGTGCGTGTGTGTGTGTGTGCGTGCGTATGTTTGTGCGTATATGCGCGCGCGTGTATGTATGTATGTATGTATGTATGCATGTGTATGTGTGTGCGTGTGCGTGTGCGTGTGTGTATCTGTGCCCTATAATTAAAAAAAAAAACCTAAAAATTCTATTTTTCACAAATATTTTCTTGTGTTTATTCTAAAATTCCCTTAAAAAGCAAAAAAGAAAATTTTTTTTTAAGTGTTAACAAACAAAAAAAAAAAATGAATAAAAAAAAAATACAAAAAAAAAAAAATAGATAAACAAATAAAAAATGTGCAAAAATAATTTTAAAAATTTAAAAAATATTTATGCTTTTTTTGTAAGAAAATGGCTTTTGTTTTGGATTATTCCTTATATCTTAAAAATAAATAAATAAATAAATAAATATATAAATAAGTATATAAATGGTGATAATGCAATAACAATTTTATGAAATTTCACTCATCCCCCCATTACAATTTATTAAAATTTGGTTCGATTGTGTTTTTTACCTTGTTCGTATAAAATTTATTTATTTAATTCGTATTTAACTATATTATATTTCATCAATTTGCAGTTTATTTATTTATTATTTTATAATTTTTTTTTTTTTTTTTTTGCATTTAAACTCTATTTTCGCATACTATTTATTTATTTATTTTTTTCATTTTTTTTTTTGTGTTCTTCTTCTTTTTCTTTAATATATTCCCATGAATTTATCAATGGAAAATTTTCTGTTATATTTTTTCTCTTTCTGATTACGCGCAGGCCATCACTTTCCCCCTTGAATGCATAGGTTATAGCGTGTTTATTTAATGTATGTTTGTGTAAATGTTTGTTCAACTCGTTTTATAAATACATATTTTTTTCGTATTTTTCGTAAGAAATACAAAATAAAATAACAAAAAAAGATGTTAAATAAATGTCTTATTTGGCTATACATCTACAAAAAAAAAAAAAAAGCAACAACCAACCGACAGACGACTTTTTCTCTCTCTATTCTCAGCTTTGATGAGTTTTAGTCTGCGTTTTTTCGTATTCAGTTTTAGGATTTCTTCAGAGAGTTGCGGTTATAGTTATTCAGTTCAGCTATTCTTTAAGATAAGTTAGTTTTAAGTTTCAACTAAATTTGTCTTTCATCAATTTTATCGCGATTTAGACTAAAACACTAACTATATTTAGTATTATAGATTTTCTTCAGCTCATTACAAATATTTTTATTAAGCAAAAGGCAGGCATCATTGCCAAACAATTAAGACCACCGGCCGCGTTCGTCTTCTTCAAGCATTTTATCTTATTAAGCCGCCCTTCAAGTGCACTTTTAGATTCTAGGCGATAGATGATGATGATGATGATGAATAAGCCGAGACGCATGCGAATTTTGTATAAAGTCCTCTTTCTCTTTCTCGCTCTCATTCTTCTAATTTTGTTATTACATGTAATGTGATTGTGTTTTCACTTTTTTTGCCACATCGTCATGTGGCTATGCGATTTCCTGCCGGCTTAGTTAGATCTCGCTTTCGCTCTCGCCCAATGACATTGGGACAAGTCCATGCGCGCAATATGGACTGACTTCGTCTATCCAAAAATTCTTTTACTGGTTTTTTGTCTTGGCCAAGACCGAGCTGGAATAATAAGAGTTTTTTCGGTATTAAGTTGCATTGCAGCCACCGTCCGATGTCAATCTAAAGAGATGCTTTGATCACGGCCGACGTTCATGTAAAGTGTGTCTCTAGCTGGCACTATGCATGCAATTAACCCCGGGGCGATAATTGGCATTTTCCGATTCCACGAAATTACGTTACACTATGTCATGTAAACTAAAAAATTAAAGTTTTTCCAGCATGATAAGCGTTGTTGTGGCCGCAACTCACTTCGAAGTCAATTATCAAATTTCTATACGCTCGCAAGGGACAAGCGCCCCGTATGCCCCCTAGAATGAAAAATCATATCCATCTGTTCGAGTAGTCATAAGTGGAGGTGAAAATTGTAGTCACATTGATTAGGTTTTATTCGTTTATGATAGAATAATAAAACAAAAAAAAAGGAAAAAAACACCGACGAGAATCATTTTTATAACATACCTGCCCTTAATCACATTCAAATATCCGCTCTATATAAAGAATGATCGCACTTTCCTTTAGACGACATTTTCCATTTAAGCCAGTTGTCAATTGCATTGGCGTTTCGTTAGTCGCAATCCCTAATATAGGATAAGTGAATTTTTTATTCACCAACATGTCTTCTCACAGACTGAATTTATTCTGCGAGCAGAACATAATCAATCAATCATATTATCTAGCGGTTATTGCCCTATGTGTTACGCCTAATCCAATTCCGTTAGCGAAATTAGGCTGACCAATCTCTTTGAGTTAAAGCTTTCGAATAAAATCTCTTACCTTCTCCGAGTAAAGTCTATTGCAAAGAAATGATGGCGCATTTATTAGATCCGTCCCGATGATCAAATGCCGATCAATTTTTTTTTTGCTCGCATGCCCGTCCATGGATATTGAAAGTTCGCCTTTTTTGACAAATGAAGATTTGTGCTTTTTTGGGAAATTTTCCCTCATTAGCTCGTAAGTGTTCTCTTTATAGAGACTCCAGAAAGGTCCTTTGAATTTTTTTCCCTCGCCAATGAAAGTTTTCCTTCGCCGACTTCCTTTCACCACATATGTAAATTTATACACAACTAACTATCTTTACTAATTGAAGACAAGTAAGTAAGTTAAACAGCTGAGGATATTAAGCGATGAAGAAAACGGCCGGCGCTTCTTTCTCAAGCAAATAAAGCAAAAGTTGGGAAAATATTCATTAATTTGTGTTTGCTTTTATTTCCCTACTTTAGCTTCGCTTATTATTTATCTATTCATTTTATTTTATTTTATTTGTTATTTTTGTAAATTTAGTAGGGAATGTATATAAACAAGGCACACATCCAATTTTATTCGATTGCACAGACCCTACGCGTTGCAGATACTTTCGCGGAATAATTCATTCAACTTATGTGCGATTGCGATTATTTTGATTTTGTTTTTGTTTATGCTTTACAGAAAACAAAGAAAATCTAATTAAAGTGTTTTTTTTATTTTTTTATTTTTTTATTTTTATTTTTTTTTTTCATTTCTCATCTCTCTTATCGCTATTATTCTCATCGTGAAACGCATAAGTCTAAAGAGAATTTGTTGTTTTTTTTTTGTTTTTGTTTTTTTTTTTTTTTTTAATACATATGGTGATCTATTTGGGGGAGAGAAGGACATAGTAACCGGCTCTTTCCATTCGCATAAAGAAAAAAATTTTATATAATTTTAATAACCATTGCGAGTGACGACTGATTGATCTAATTACGTTTCGGTTTTCGTTCAAAGTTCATATGAGTTTTAGGGTTAAATTGCGCGCGCTTGACTTAAAAGAACTTTAGCTTGCGAAACGTACAAGAATGGTTAAATAATGTAACGCGTGTAACAAATCGAGAGAGAGAGATGGAAAATTTCGCAAAATACATTGGATTATTTGGTGCAACACTTTGCTGAGCCAAATCAAAATGATCCAAAGCAAATTGGCAATGATCTAGCGGAGCATTTTTATAAAAATGCTGTGTGCACCTGGTCGTCTCGTTCGCTTCAATAATCAATAATCGATGCCGCACAAAAACAGTACATTTTTTGTGTTGAATTGATTTAATTAATTCTCTTTAATCAGTTCAGTTTAATTGTCGAGTCGCTTTCACGTTAACCTATATCTTATCGTTAATTCAAATTCATTGAATTTAGGTTTTGCGTGGTTGATCACTTACGCCCGCTGTTTTTTTTCTTTTTTTTTTTCGGCAAACGCAAATGTTTAGATTTTATTATGGATTTTGCATTTCGTTTTATTGACTTAGTTTCTTTTGTACGCACATCATATCGCCTTAACAAAAATGTGCACAAAACAAATTACAGTAAACGGCCCTATAACATGGTAGATTAGGCTCGTGTTATGAGACTAGGATTAGGACGGCGACCCAGGTATAAAGCGTTATGTACAAATGACTCTCTTTATTAAAGGGAGATGAAGAACGAAGTTATGTGCGAACCTTTTTATACATATATGATGAAATAATAGTTCATTTCAAGCAAGTTACATACGCGAAACGTATGTGAAATTGACTATGAATGATACAAATCATTATAAATTTCACAGTACAGAAATATTATGTGAGCGAAAAGCATGTATTATATACGAGGGACATTAAATCGCGTTATAAAAATACCGTGTTAAAGGGAGTATTACTGTAGATGATGTTGTTAAATGTGAGCATAGCACAAATCAAACACCACACATATGGATTTCTCTAAGTGAACAAAAAAAAAAATAAAAAAATAAAAAAAAAAACGAACGAAGAAACCCAAACCATCCATCATCAGCCTGTGGTGACGTTTCAATGGAAAATTTCTAAAATAATTTCGCCTTTAAGTTCTTTTGCCTCTATATATATACATATAGATATATACATATACATATACATATACATATAAATATATATTGGGTTTTCCCTTCACTACCTAGGAAGAGTTATGCTACATCGAACATAACGTTTCTTGCATAATAATATTGAAGGCTTACTGACGACATATTATGAGCGAGAGAGAGAGAGAGAGAGAGACTATGATAATATCCTCATATGCAAATTTGGACAAATATTTTAAGATAGTGCATTTGTGTGTGTGTGTGTGTGTGTTCAGATTTACTTGAAAAGAATTTCGAAAGAAAAATTCTACTTCAACATATTTTTAGTGGATATTTCCCCTTTGGGGAATATGTTGAAAGTTTTTGTGCTCTCTACTCCTTAAATAAAATTGCATTTTTAATGGCCTGACGTCGTAAATACGTTAGTAGGGGAAGGGCCTCCGTGCGATGCGCGTCAATTTTGTCTCTCTGTCGTTACAATCTTCTAAGGGAAAGTAGTAAGTGAGAGTAAATTTTGAAATGATTTTCAAAACGTTAAACTCTCCACTCGAAGATTGAATTTGTTCGCTCATATTAATGGAAAATTCAATATCTGGCAAAGATTTACAAAATGTTACGTATATGCAATAGTTCTTCGGAATTCAAAGATTAATTGTTGAGCGATTTTTGTTAAAAGCTTCCAAGTTAAGTTAAGTGTTCATTATTCGGCTTAATCGTGCCTCTGGCTTATTTTACGTTAAATACAATTTTTTTTTCTCTTATGGACTTTGAATTTTTTTTTTTTTTTTTTTTATCGCCATTCTTTTGTTTTTATTGTTATATCGAGAGCGCTTTGCTTCGCTCTCCGTTAAAGTTTATTTATTTAATTTTAAGTGCGTCACCGCTTACTTAACATTTAATTTTTGTTCTTCTTCTTTTTCTTCTTATTTATTTATTTGTCTTATTTTCTTGTTATTACGTTATAATTGAAGGCAACATGTTTTATAGGATATTTTCTCATCATAATCAGGGCATTATTCTAGCGATTCTCAACCGATCAATAAATATTTTTCTCTCTTGCTCTCTCTCTCTCTCTCTCTCTCTCTCTCTCTCTTGGGGTAATTCTTTCTTGTTGTTCTGCTCTCTTGCTCTAAGCGCGCTTGATTGCGTTTATCGCGTTATTGTCGTGGTTTTTCTGGGATCTTTTTTCGATGGGGTTGGTGGGTCGTGGTGGTGGCGGCGACTTAAAAATATATTTGAAATGATGATTTTGTTGAAAGCTACTATTTCATCATATGTTTGGCTTTGTCTTTATTTTCATTTATTTAATGCTTTAATTATAGCTAATTAGGTCTTAGTAGTTTGGTTGTTTTTTTTTTTCTTGCACAGGTGTGTGTTTTGTTATCTCTTTCATATTAGGTATTCATATATTATATTTAAAAGTTTGGATCATATATCTATGTCAGATACGTTTAATTTAAATGAATTTCTTTAATAGATAAGAAATTGTTTTACATCACTTGTGGAGCAAAGTATATTAAGTTAGTGCGGATTTACGTAACACGCAGAAGGGCTTAAGATATACCTATATTTTTTTATTATACCGATCGATTCAGAATCATAATCTCAATTGATCTAAGCCTGTTTGTCCGCCTGTCCGTCCGTCTGATATATATCCATGTAAATATGCATTCAAACTACAGGTCGCAATTTTCGGTGATATTTCGATGCAATTTAGTACAAGAACGAATGATATTGAAAATGGTTCGGATCGGTTTACTTTTTCGGCCACACCCCATATAATAGCCTATTCTGAAAAGTCTTTCGTTATATATGGAAAAAAATTGCAATTTTCAAAATTTCTAAACAAAAATGACTAAGTGCAAGTATTTGGGCATTCCAAAATGATGTGCAAACTTTCGACAAGCTGGGGGCAATTTTTGGACCCCCTGTCATATAATGACAACTAAAGTTTACACAAGAGAATGGTATAATTTTCAATGATGACACTTGAATCATAATAGTGATTTAATATAAAAAAATTAAATAAACAAAATTTGGATCATCTCGGCCTATTTATTGAATCCTACCCTATGTAAGGATTTTCATGGAAATTAATCCGTGGTGGCGAAAAGTGATCCACAATAGTAATTTCATACACAAATGAACTCAACATTCGACTATCTAGAGGTATTTTTGAATCCTACCCTATCTAAGGATTAAACTGGTACTACATTAGGTTGCGGTTTGAGCCCGCTTTACCATACGCACAATACGCACATGAAAACTATGCCTTTATATAGAAACAAGATATAACTTTTTTTTTGTGTTCTATAATAAAAATACGAATCGTGTTAGACAATGGGGTGGTGTAAGTGTCCAGTGTGGTTAATAGTTAATAGACTATTAAGGGTCTTTCCTTTTTTTTTTTTTTTCTTTTTTTTATATGCCATAGTAATATTTTAGTTACATCTAGAAATATTACCTAAAATACCTCAAGGTATTATTACGTACGGATACCTCATAAACAATAAAACAATATAATGATAAAATAATTTGTTACGTCATGAATTAACAATCTGTTATAAATCTCGATTTAAAATTTGGCCGGATACAATCAAAGTTGATCTCGAAACGTTTGAAAAATGACGTGAAATGACGCGAAATGACGTTAAGAATTAACGAAAAGCTTTGCCGCGTTCTTTAAATATGAAATATAATTTCTTGCGAAATGGCTTCGCGCGACGACAATACAAATACAATGTTTTATAAGAAAATGAAAAACAACAATAATTTCTATTATTAATTTTTAACATTTACAATTCGAGATTATTATTATTATTATTATTATTTTTGTCTTATAATTTTCCATTGGATCATATTGTGCGTATTGTGTTATTTATTTTCTCTATTGCCAGAAAAATGTAGATATCCATTAAAAGTGAATGAACTTGAATTTTAAATATATTAGATTATGAATGAATTTTTTTTTGCTTTTCTTAAATTCTTCTTGATTATCCAGTTCATATAAAATTCCATTTTTATTCATTTTATTTGAATCATTTTTTTTTTTTTTCTTTTTTTTCAAAAATATATAAAATATAAAAAAAGTGTAAGAAGGAGGGAGTGCCGAAGATCTTAACATATTTGTTAATTGCAAGTATCTAAGTGGTCTGTATCTAATCAAGACCATAGTAATTGACGAGAAATGTTGCATTTTTTTTTTCGTTTTTTCAATTATTGTATGTATGTATGTATGTATGTATCTATGTATGTATGTATGTATGTATGTATGTATGTATGAGCGCTCGTCCATCCCGTTTTAAAACTTTCCTTTTTTTCTATTGATTTTCATTCCTTGAAGACGGCGGCTCGGCATAGTCATATGTAGAGAATATGTAGAGAATTTAAAAAGAAAGGTATTCCGTCGCCATCGCCGTCACCTTCGTTTTCAAATTTCGAATGTCGTATTCTTTCGTTTTTTCTCTCTCAACACTTTATGTGTGTGTGCGTACATTCTTCATTGTTGTGTATATTTAAGTTTAGTTTGTCGCCTTTGACCACTCGTTTCATTATC